TTTATAAATGTTATCCATAGTGCTAGGATGTAATATCAAATGAAAAGTGATTGTGAAACATTGACAAATAATGATTCAATCTTGTTGAGCCAGTTGATTTCTACGGGGACCTCAGAAATGAACAAATATTATAACTCCGAGTTAAAATTTCTACGGCAACTCTGCAGCCCGTAAAAAAACTGGATACGCCGTACGGAGACCGCAAGGCGAGCGTAGTTTTCCTACGCTCGCTGCAGAAATACACTGATTTAATTGATCTGCGGTCGAAGTACGGCCGCCGTACGACAAATGTGACTGGGGTGTTAATCTCATATATTTTCCCACAGCACAAAAGGGTATGGAATGTCCCCAATCTAATGAAATCATTGAAGTGAAAAATTAAAGGATCAGGCAATATTATAAACCTTCTTTTCTGCCCCTAAATCAAAGTTTGTTAATATCACCTATTATTATAATCTCATCAAAAAAATTATCTGTGAATGACACCCTATCATTATTTCAGTTTTAATGTATGTAGGAGACAGTTCCTAAACCTAAAACAATGGTATTTTGCAGCATAATTTACTTGGATATGATTCTTTATGAACTAGCCCCCCCCCCCACCCAATCTACACATATTCACAACAACCAAATCCTGTTTCTATAGAACCATCAAGAATTATTTCAAATTACTGATGACATATACATTTATTCTGTCTGAAAAATTGGTGGTTAATCGTTGCATTGTTGTAAAGTTATTAATGATTTTCAATGTATCCCCTACTTTTGTCATGCGGGAGGGGTGCTGGAGGAGGGAGAGGGGTTATAAATATTGAGGGGGATAAAAAAAATCATAGAAAGTGTTAACTGATACCAGAATCATACCTTCTGTTGAAATTGTGATAATACTGGCTATACAATTGAAGTTATCTACTGTTAAGTAGGCTTGATCATTCAGTTAAATGCCACGCCCACTTTGGATTATTTAGAGGGGGTGGGTCATAGAAAAAAATTTAAAAATATTTTTGATTGAGACTCAATCATCATTCTAATTTTAATGCATGCAGGACATACAAATGCAATTTTCTAAACCTTAAAACAATGTTATTTTTGCAGCATAACTTGCTAACAAAGGATTTTTTCGTTGACTAGCCCCCCAAAATAGACATAAATTAGCAAATTTTGACAATCAAATCCTGTTTCCATAGCAACCATTATACCTATAGTCACCAATTTTTTACCAGTTATCAATGACATATATGTGCATATATTCTGAAAAAATTGTGGTTATTCATAATGTTTTTATTAAGTTATTAATTATTTTCTTTGTACCCCCTACTATTGTCATGCGGGGGGGATAAATATTGATTTTTTCCCAAACGCTGTAAAATTTTGCTTAATTATTGCCAAATTATGGTGAGAATTACAAATTAGGATGTAACTAACATGGTCTCCAAAATTCTACCTCCATACCGCAATTTAAGGGCTAGCCCATAACCTATTTATGTTGGGAACAATTATCAAAACAATCAATTAACGCGGCAATAAATAAATGACGTCATAGACTAAAACTGGTTGTGCAGGAACAAGGAGGACATATTGAACATTTACTTTAAAAACAAAACAGCCAAAGACACACCTAATGTTATATATCGACCTTGTTTATGTCTCAGTTATCTACATATCAATTTTTTAATTAGGGATTGCATCAAAAATAAAAAATGAGATTAAAATGAAAAAGGGTGAACTTTTTTTGGCCCACCCTGTATAAAGAATAAAGAATAAAGAAATGTGTATTGAATGTGCCTACAAGAATTAAAACATCACATTGAAGCGTAGTATTTGGAAACTAGCCAAGGTGGTAATTAGCAAGAGATTTAATGTTGCATTTGTTGCACAAAATGGCAAAATTTGATTATAGATCAATCAGAATCACATGGTTCCCTATTTTTAACTAATAAATTCTAATTAAAACCAATAAAATCCTATGTTAGGATTTTTCCAGGGAATATGTAGGAAAAATGTGGTAATTTAACTCTTAAAAGTAAAGAGATGAGAGTTAATATACAGACTTGGGACTTGTCCTGTCCCGGCTACTATGTTGCACTTCATATGCATAAAGCCAAGGTATTGAGTGGTAAGCACTTCAAGGGACCATCTTAAAGGTACAACTAAAGCTTTTTATAATTACTTTTTATCTAGAAAGTCTTAATCCCTATCACTACTTGAATCTGAATGCATTGCTTACGAAAACCACTCCATGTATGAAGATGATTTTCATAAGATTATGATTTGACATAAAAATAATAGAATCACAAATTCATTTGGGACAGAGTCGTTAATACCCTTTTCTTGTTTTTCATGTAAAACTAATAGTCCGTCGTTCAATCACGTTCGTCCCTTTTTAAAAGCACCAGTCTGAAAGAAACACTTTCAGCGTAGCTATTTTTCCCATACAGTGTTTAATTATTAATTATTGTTTTAATATTAAAAATATTGTGTGGGGTACTGCATGTAAACATAGCAAGTTTTCTCATTAGCGACAGCTTAACTGGACAGCTAGTTGCTTATTAATCAATACTATATTCTAGTAGAAAACCAATGATGCAGACTGATGATGTATCATTTATTTTGCATTGCTATCAAACGTTAATCAGATCAGACGCGTAAAGTACAACTGTTGTATCAGGTGTGGACATTAAAATCCTAATGAAGGTAATCATTAAGAACTTCTTTTTATGTGTACTTAGTGACCAGCCGTCTCTATTGGTTATTAAATGTATCCTCATTCCAGAGGGTACTGACAACAGCCAGATAATAAAGATAACATTCTGCATAGTCTGAATGTCACAGATATTGAAGTATAAGAATATCATATTCACTTGGGATCAATTGGAAAAGAAGACATTATTTCAACTTCCGGTAGAAGAATATGATAATTTTGTTGTCTAGATTTTCGAAATATGGTAAGTTACACCTAATACATACTATAGCCACTTGGTAATTAAACATCAATAATCCCCTCGCTTAAGAAACGAAAACACTTTCTCTGAGAAACGAAGACAGGACATATCTGAAGCATGAAACGAAGACAGCACATTTCAATGATATCTGAAAGTACTAAGTAAAGGGGTAATGCAGAGTCAGAAAAATAGTTCCCTCCATCCAAGACATCTACAATGTCCTTTCAATTAGTGCAAATGCGATCCTCCATAGGGATATTATTACGTTGGTATATGCACTACTAATAAAAATAAATGTCTTTGCAAGTAAGATATGTCCTCGTATGGTTGCTAGAAAACAGAGAAATGTTTCCAATGCGAGAGAACTGATTTGCTTAATATTGAATCAAGAAAACAAAACATCTTACAAAATTGTTCATCCAAAAGTCCGGCCATGCTGAAACGAAGGCATCGTGTCTTCGTTCCCAGTTGATCCCGAGTGACATTGCTTTCATATCCGTACTGTTAAACCGGTGTATTCCTTCAGTCATATAAAATACCTTGATGGATAAAGATTTGTATATATCGGTGTTTATGTAAATTAAACAAAGTAACGTATCGTTACACATGCTATCTTGAATGAAAGCATCTTCCCAAAGGTGTATATTTTGTCAAGATTTAGAAAAATCATGTTCATGAGGTTCCCGTGCGTATAACACCTGATTAGAAAAAACTCACGTTCCGTCATATCAGTCGATATGTTACGATATGCGCAAAGCTCTACTTAGTGATATTTTCATTTCAAATATGGCGGCCAATCCGATGTCTGACGACCCTTGCAAAGAATCTGGGCAGTGTGCATTTTTACCTCCTGTGAAATAACAAGTGGAATTAAGTAGTTGTTTTTTTGTTTTATTATCATTCTGCATTGTAATTCTATGTGATGTGGTGTTCAAATGTCTGCAGAAATATATATCTATACGATAATCGAGTGAATTAGATAACAGATTTTTCGAAAACTCGTCTCCTGCTAAGAGTGTAAAAACTTGTATTAACATGCTCAAAAGTGCCAATGTGCACATCAATGTCAAGCTAGATCAATGTTGTGTCTAAAACAGGTACCTGATCTACTCAAAACAGCTTGTCATTCACGTATACACGCTTAGCAAACACGGCGAAATGATCTGAATCTTGGAATTTCGTTCGAGAGCTAGTAATGTTTGCTCCGGTCTTTGTCATAAGTTTTCATCAGAGTTTGCGCATGCTCAGGAGAAAACCATCAACCAATAAAGTTTATGAATCAATTTTGCGCATGCGCCTTACAAGGGTAAAGGAATTCGTACCTATAAACGAACCAATTTGAGATAACCCGATATCAGTCGGAGAAATCTGACGATCTGCGAAACTCGCTTCAAAAATTCAAATATGGACTGACGGCGTATTCTACTATGCTGGGATCTAAGATTTTCAGGAGAGATAAAGTCTTTTATGGTCTTTCGAATGAGGTAAGTCTCTAGTTCGAAAGACAATCGTATCAACTTGAACAAAAGTTGAGTTTTGACGAAAATTTTTAACATGCGCAGAAGTCCCATTTTCGTCGTACCATATTGACTGATATGACTGCCTGATTTTATATCTAGGAGTTCTAAAGCTTTGAAAACTTGCTAATTCTAGTTTTTCGTTCCATTCGAGTTTTAGACAGATTCAACTAACACTTTCTGACAAATCATGAAATTAAGTGACAATTGCAAGTTTCTAATACTGAAGCCTATGTTAACCAAAACGAAGAAAAACAAGTGCCGACATCTACTTGTTCAGCTTTATCCAGCTACATAGCAACTACCTTATTGAGTATCTAACCTTTTCAATTCCTCTGCAAAATTACCTTGAAATCGAAAGTTTATCCTGAAATTAGATTGGAGCTTTTGGACTTTATAGAAAATAAGCATTACATGAAATTATGAGACCAAAAATTGTAAAATTTAATTTTCGATAATTTTGTCATTTCTTTATGCTGACTGAGTGTTCTTATTCAATATAACTTGCACTGTATGAAATCAAACAGTTACAGCCTGACATCTATAAATAACGCATATTGATATTGCTTAATATGTTCTTGTATTTACCACAGTGAAAAATAATTATTTGATATCATCTCCCATATGCATATGAGTGGAATGACCAATTCATTTATGATAACACACTAATCTGCGTGGAATACCTAGGCTAATAACATCGGAAGATTACGTGACCTGATCAATGTAAATATCATAAATGTTGGTTATTACACTTATATTGGCACAATGATCGGATAAGTTTCATGCTACACATTGCAATATTTATATGTTAAATACAGAATAACAAATCCACCAAAGTTCTCATGTCAGTTTATTGTAAGACAAGCTTCTCTAAATGATTCAAGGCGCAACTATCGATTGGTCAAGTTATTTAAGATTCAAAGTTCAAAGTACACATGAAAATAAATGATGTGAGTTAAAATACTCCAGCAATTAATTGGAAATGTTGATCTGATTTCCTTTCACACATTGTCCCACTTTGGCTCACCCTGTATGCAGGTATGTACGGCTTTTTCCTATGGTCAGGCTCATACTTTGACGATGTCACCTACTTTGATAGTACCACACGTGTCGACTCCACACAATGCCCCGATCTTGGGAAATGTTGCAAGCTTTTTTACATCGGGGCAGGTTTTTGGATACATCCTTTTCACTAGCTCGTCAGGTAGCCTATACCTACAAGTGTGCAATCGGTTTTAAAAGATAACTTGTCATATTCACCGTTATACTGTACGTTCTGTTATTTGAGCTTTAAAATAGAGGAAATTAACCTGACAAAAATGTTACCGCCGGGTTTTACAAAAATGCAACAATTGTTACAGACGTCGTCATAAAAATTACTATTACAATGTGTCACTGTACCACTTTCTGGGGCTGAATTCTGCTTAATTAAGTTTATACGTCCGAACCCCATATAATACAACCGAGTAAATGATCCGATGAGATTTATCCTTACTTTAAACAAGCCAATCTAAGCGATCAAGTGTGAAGATATTATTTTGATGCAGATGTGTAAAACTTTTGACAGCTGATATGCCCATATCATGAATCCATTTACTGGATAGTTTACAGACAGAAAGGGTTAATAGGTTCACATGTGTCTAGTCACAGGACACAGCTTGAATAATTTTTACCAAACCATCGAGAAGTATAGCATCGATAAGCGTTTTGCTTACGTTTTTAGAGTTTTGAGTGGTTCAAAAGCCTTGCTGCGTTTTCCAGTCAATGGGTCAACATTTGGTGCAATACATCTGTAATCAAACAATAATGCATGCATTCATGATAACGACTTTTTCGATTCATAGTTTGACCCACCGTAACATGATCGATTATGATTATTTTGCTTCATTTTTATGTTACTTTTTATACCATCTAAAATTACAATTAAGCTTCCAATCGCTATTTAGCACAAAACTTTTTATTTTTTATTTAAATGAGTTGGCCATAAAATTGCAATCAAACCGGCAGCCGGCAGTTCTAGGGAACCATATTAGAGTGATTTAGGGAACTACTAGATCCTATTGAGGAACAACTAATGGGCCCTTTAAGGAACGATAAGTGGGTATGCATACTGTACCTTGGACAAACTAGACAATGATGGAGCTTTGTCTCGCCAATATAAAACTCCTGCCAATCATCTTCAGCATATGGTGCACAATCCTTTACTATCAAATTCATTCTGAATTGTCTCACTGTTCTGATTTTGGACTCTTTAGGTAACCTGGTGTTTAAGTCATCGATCGAAGAATGGGAAATCAAACTCACAGGCGAACCGTCTGTATATGATGACTGCAAAATATAATTATGAAAATACGTTTATGACATTGTCTAGTGTATACAGTAAGTAACGAATCGTCTCTAGAATTTGGGATTATGCCACGGACGGTTTGCTACATAAGTCATTGCCTACCATATCCCAGTTTTTTAATAAGCCATCCCATGAACTAAATCCATCTGCAAAAGGAATCTCGAATTTTTTGTCGAAGTAGATCACTCTGAGATTAGTCTTCTTGAGGTATTTATTAAACCACGCAGCTATCTCATCCCCACAGTCAATCCCTTTGCAGTAATTGAACCAGTTCCTATTGGTAATAAGTAAAGGGGGGAATGTAAACTGTCATTTGTCTGAACAAATGCTTAACAAACTTAATGGGGTGGGCCTCCATGCTTGTAATTTAAATGTTTATTTCGCATTTCAACATTTATATTGAAAATAAGGAAAGGGGATGACCGTAAACTGTCATTTGTCTGGACAAATGGTCAGCAACTTAATGGGGCGCGGACCTCCATGCTTGTAATTCAAATGTTTATCGCAATTTAAACGTTTATTTCGCAAATCCTAATTGCGATGTTTTTCTCAACCTAAACGTGAACGGAAAATATTTAAAGCGATGCATTTGTATCGGCGATTGGTCATACGTATAGGTTGGCGTTTCGGTTTTATATGCAAGCTTAAACTCCTTATTACAATCAGATATAACTTTACATAATCAGAAAATGCCTTTATGCGCTTTGATACCTACCAGTCCTTTTTAATGATATTGAAAATGAGTGTTTTCTGTGTCAAAATCTTATACTAATTTGTGGCTGAAATGTAAAAAAAAACTTGCACATGATAAATGAAAGATATTCCACCTTACTTTACTGTCCGCACTTTCCCACACAAACGATTCAGGTTTTGTGTGTCGAGTGGTAGACTGGTGTCTTCCATACCATCAACGTGTAACCATAGTCTGTCATTCTGTATTGATGTTGAGATCAGGACAAGACTCGGTTGTTCCTTACTGGTCACTATTTCATCACAGTCATTGACAATCATAAAGTGCCTGTAAAATCATTTAGAATTCAGTTTTGAAAAACGCGAAAGACAATCTCAAAAGTAGGCTTGCTCCAAGAACCTGGACCCCCCCCCCCCCCCCACACACACACACCCCCCTCCCCCTCATCTACTTCAACAACCAGATTTGGAGAAGATAAAGGGGATCTTGACGTAAGACTAAATCAAAAACTCCTCTCCGTGAATGGTGTAAAACTGTATCAAAATTTGATATCTCATATTAAAGTGGTATCCCTAACACATAGAATAACGTTTCAAAAGTATGCACAATTCGTGTGATTTCAAACTAGTAAGAAAATTAACTATTGGTTGAGATAGATTGAAAATCGCATATGAAGATGCGAATTTCGCATCATTTAACGACGAGCGCTTCCAATCACATTTACATAGAGTTGCGATTAGATCTAGTTATAATTCTCATGTCTTAGTAATGGAAAATTAAAAGTAGACCAAAAATAAAGTACTAGTTTGCCTTCTTTATGGAAGAAATCGAAAAATTATGCTATCGGATGGTCCAAAATATGGTCAGGGGACCTGATGTATTTCAAAGTAGACTAAAGATAGAGATATAACTTTTGAGCGATGATTTTGACAGTTTACTTATCTTTAATGAAGTGTTAATTAGAGCATTAAAGGTTGAACATTTAGTGCAGAGACGTTACCAACGACCATGGACCAAGTGATCATGACTCCCATGAAACTTGGAAAAATCAGCACTGTGCCAAGTTAGTATCCAAGTGGGATTGACACTGAATGTTGTTTTCTGTGTCCAAAGCATTATGTTCAAGCTCAAAACTCCATGTTCTTCATATCTAGTATCTGACTACCGTTGTCAGTCTATTCCGGTATGTGTATGTCGTGCACGGACCTGAGTAGACAAATTGAGAGGCACGGGTTAATGTGACCTTTAAGCGTTAAGGCTCGCCTTAATATAAAAGCTAACCATGTGTTTCAAACATCATTTTGAGGTATTTTAACGCATTTCAGCGATACTATTTTCCTAGGAAAGTTTGGAGTGATCTACTATATTCTTAAAGTTAAATATACCCCGACATGTCAAATACGTTTTGAGATGTAACACGTTAGTCTTGCACGGTTCGTTGAAATTGGGTTGACTTGAAATAATAATCAGAATTCCACTAAAAATTTCGCATTTTGTTCAAAGTGCATTCATGAAGTCATAACGTTAACCCCTTTTGTTTTGGTATTTTGGCGCCATAATGATACGCTAATTGTCCCCAGTTTCGTGCGACGTGCATGTCATTTCCTAGGAAAATAGTATCGCTGAAATGCGTTAAAATACCTCAAAATGATGTTTCAAATTGCACTACTTTTTTAAATGTAAATACATACAATCAGAATCATACGGGTAACATTTTTTGGCCCACCCTTTACATTCCTTTTAATAATCTTTGTATTTTAGTAAATTATTAATTTCAAAACATCTGCATTAGTTAAGAAATTTTTTCAAGAGTTCAGATCTAAAGTCCATTTTGGGATCTGATTTGGTTTTTCATCTCTCTTGGAATTCAATCTTTTCATAACATTCTACTTACTACTACTAAATGTTTTTCAGATTTTCTTTTTATTGTTGCACTTCGCAAATTAGCCAACGTTAATTTCGTCTCATCATAATAATTTATACTCCCCTCCATAAGTTTGGCAACCTTTGCTCCCCCATTGAACTACAGCGTGTTAAAGCCTCTTTACCTTTGAATTTTTATTTACTTAACCTGCGATGAAAATACGTATACTATTGATGGAAACGTAATTTGACTTTATTGTCCATACCTCCAAATTTTCTCAATTTTTCCCAATTACAATAGCTCGAAAATTGATGATAAAGCTGATGATTTTTTGAAAATCGACATTCCCAAGTTATCCAATGGGAAACGGTAGGTTTGCTTCAAGTCATATGACAGAAGATCCATCCATCCGAGTCCCTGCAAAAATACAAGTTGGATAAGCAATTGAATTTGCTAACTTTATTTAACAAAAAATTGATACATTTCTTCAGGTTCAACAAAGTAATAGGTCTTTAAAGTCAAAATTGTTTCTTAAAAAACTCTCCCATTGAAATAACAAAGGAGGCGAAAATGATTTTCAAAAATGACTTTAAATTTGAAGCTCTTTAACTTTAGTATTCATCAAGTAAACTAAACACTTAGTATACAAAAAAGTTAGACAATTCAATTTTCTATACAAAAGTATTTTTTGCTGAATCTTTTACTGAATAGATATCCTGATTTCTGATTTGCCCCGAACCCACCATTTCCCATTGGTTTACATGGGAATGACGATTTTCAAAAATCAAATTTATCATCAATTTTCAACCTATGGTAATTGAGGAAGAAAATTTTAAAAATTTGGAGATATTGGAAATAAAGTCAAATTAGGTTTCCTTCAATAGTATAAGTATTTTCACCCCAGGTTAAGTAAATGAAATTCAAACGTTGAGGCTTTAACACGTAGTTTAATAGGGGAGCAAAGGTTGCCAAACATATAGAGGGGAGTGTATCTTCCATTCCATTTGAGTGCAAAATACATTATTATCTTGATATTTATTATTTACCATGTCAAAAATATCCACATTTATATTAGATCTAGACTTGCATTTCATGTACTTTGTTTTGTAAAGAATAACAAAATTTATAATAATGAAATTTAAAGACAAAATTTAAAATAATGTAATAGATATTAATTAGAATGAATCGGGGAACAATGAAACTAAACATAATTGTGATACCTGTCATAGAGTCCTTTGTATTTGAATCCAGTGTATGTTAGCTCTATTTCATTTACCATAAATCCTTTAAGTGCTTTGAAAGGATAGAAATATATCTCATCGATTGTTGCTACGGGTTTAGCGTTGTCCTTGTGTTTCTTTGCAATAAATGTCATGACCGCATATTTAATCCCCGCCAGTCCCGCCAATATGACGATGGTCCTAGAATCGGCTGAACTCATGATATTAACTTTCGCTATTAAAAGAAATTAAATGTATCAAATATGGTGCGTGTTACCAAGTGTGTGTAGACGTGTCAGAGTCATGCAAATAATTATTCCCACTTCTATATATGCGTGCGCATATAAATTAATAGTGTACCCACTAAAAGTCATGCACGTAGTTATATTTTAAGCAGGTCTTGTAAATAAATCAAAACTTCAAAACAATATACCTGAAGTAAGAGAAATAGATAAAACATTACAGTTGGGTGTATGAGAGGCGTCGGAATCTGTGGATATATTAATATTCGTGGCCTCGATATGACTACACTACTATACGTGAGCATGTGCTTTTCTCAACCTCAAATTATGGTGCAAAAATGTCATATCTGAGTTTTGCCCTCCCCCTGACAAAAAATATTATGGTTACAATGACACATGGCTTTATCTCAGTCACTATATTCCTATGATCATTTCTATATCCATTGAACAAAATGTGAAATTTTTGTGGGATTCTGATAATTGTTTCAAAAGTTATCCCAGTTTCAACGAACTGTACAAGGGTAAAGTTTTATACGTCTCACAACTTTTTTGATGATGTCAGGGTATATTAAACTCTAAAAATATGGTAGATGACATCAAACTTTTCGAGAAAAAATAGTATCACTGAAAGGCGTATATAAAAAAATACCTCAAAATAATGTATGAAACACATGGTGAGCTTTTTAAAAAAGGCAGAGATTAACGCTTAAGGGTCACATTAGTCCGTATTTCTCAAATTGTTCCCAGGTCCGTGCACGTCTACAAAACCAAACGTTGGGCACCCCAACAGTCAAAAATAATCTGGCGAATTTGGCGACTAAATAACAATATGTCACATGGTTTCAAAACTTATGTTTGCATTATATATTAGAAGGCTATGATTAACTGATGAAATGTTGAAAGATAAGTGTTACACAGCTTGGTTTCTAATTATTCCTAAACTTTTAAATCAAAGGCTGAGGCTGCTATAGTTCAGATAAAGTAGAGTAATTTGACATTACCTGTCATGTAGGTAAAATATTTAACATTTCAAATACAGGGTGGTCCAAAAAAAGTGAACCCCTGCAACAGGCTACATTTTTCTTAATACATGCATGAATTGGCTCATATTATCACATGTTGTAGAGAAAGGTCTAAAATTTTGGTTGATACCATAATTTATTCTCAGTCTTAAATTTTGAAGAAATTACAAGCGTTTAACAAACATGCCTGGAAATTAGATATTGTACAAAATTTTACAAAATGTGATTCACGGAAATTGCTGAAACACATTGGATGATCTTAAACAGCTTTCAGTTAGAGATGCAAGTTTAAAACCCTACCATATCACACTTCCATTGATCATTTTGAAGCAGTTTTAACTGTTCAACAGTTCAGGGGTATGTAACCTACACCAACAGTTAGAGGGGGCCTCTTATGGAAGGAAGTTGCCCCCTGTGACCAGGAATCTGATAACCCCTTCATCAAATCAAAAATCAAAAGAAAATCCAATATTCAATGTTTTGAGCCATATATCATTAGAATTGGTCCATGATTTATGAAAATATTGACATTTCAAGATCATATAGGGGTATGTTCATGATTTCACTGGAAAATGTTTTCGTCTGTGGAAGCTTAGCACATCTCTTTGGACCACAATAACTTTGCAACTAACAAATGTAGGATGCTAGTTTTAAGCCATAATGTGCAGGATTTAAAATTGAACAAAGTCAGAAAATATTAGTTCTTTAAGACTGCAGCTTAAAAAATTCTCAGGGGAAAGGTGTTAAAGGGTTGAAGAATCGCGGATATTGAAAATCACAATTTGTCCATTTTCAGTAATGTTTGGTTAGGGCTTATGATTTCTGCAAATTTCAAGACTAAGAAAAATGTATGGTACCAACATAAATTTTAGACCTTCCTCTACAACATGTGAAAATTTAAAAGAATTCCTGCAAGTAATGAGGGAAATATGGCCAGTTGCAGGGGTTCACTTATTTTTGGACCACCCTGTACAATAGAACCCATGTAGGTGAACACCTCTGTGTGAATATGGTGCAAAACCCACAATAGCAAACACCTTTTAATAAACAATGAATATGAATGCAGATAGAAGAGACAAAGAAAGTACTAAAAAACACAACCAGACGAAGAAACACCTCAATCATAATTTTAAAAAAACAAGATATCCAAAGAATGATCTAACATATGAAACGTAATAATTTCAAACACTCCATTTGTTCAGCAAACACCCCCTCAGGTGAACACATTTCTCTCTAGTGAACACTTGCATGGTCATAAAATGTCTCTAAACAAACCCATTTTCCCAGTTGTTCTATTCACTAAACCCTATGTGTAGAATATTCAAGCATGGTGCGGTAAATCAAATGTTTCGAATGTATACATAACTGCAACTGCTACCAAACCATAAATCAAACTGAAATGTTGAATCATGCTTATCTCCATGGAGGAACATAGCCTCATAATGAATTCTATTGAATATTTTACCTAATACAGATAAAACAAAAATACATATACATTTATACAGCAATCTACTTATAGATACAGCATACATATGATTATCACAGTGGTTAAATATCTAGATAAAAATGGAACTTTACTCTGTTATCCTATCAAAGAACTAAATATTTATGAAATATAAAGCACATCAATGCAACTGGTGCAATTCAGACCATCTGTGACCACGCAATTCACAGACTATATACTTCTGAATATGATTAGATCTATGTCCTGAATTTGGAGTAAAATTGAGTAAAATATATATTCCATAGAACTGGTGTCTTACAGCGCATACAGTGTTTTTGGTTATCCTTAAAGTCTAGCCTCAATAAACTCCCCTCAGTCACTGAGCTGCTCCGAAAAAATGAAGTGTCGTTGTCCGGTACTCTGCCACAAGAATGAACAGACCGTTTTAAAGAACTGACTTCCCTTATTAAGAAAATATAGTTCGTTTTGATTGTAACAGGGGATTTTGCCTCTAAAATGGGGTCACACAAGGTTGCCCTCTAGAAACAACTTTGTACATATTTTTTAACTTTTTACCACATAACTGCATTTTAAGTAAGATATTAATTGATCTTGATAAAAATTGAGTAGTTTTGATCAATAAGAGAATTAGGAAAATGTCAAAAAGATGCAAACGTCTGCATAAGTAAAAAATCTGCTTAAACGCAATTTTTTAAGTAATAAAAAACACTGTCTAATGCTGGAAAAAGGTAATGTATAAAAGCTCAGGGTGACAAAAATCGGACATGAAAAAAAACATAACGCCTTGAATGTGTTTTCATGTAGATGTACTCTTCTCAAGGCCAAGTTTTATTACCCGAACAAAACCTTCGAGGCATAGATCGTTCAATCATCTGTTTTTGAATATACTGTTCAGATTAGTAGTTATAGTTCTTAGTAGTTTTTTTTTTATTCAGACCAGACTGATAAATCCCTGCATGTTTTTTACTCTGCCGGATGTGAGTCATGTCGCTGTATACGGGTCATGTCGAAATCATAAAATATGAAATCAAATGTTCGAGCATTTTTCCACATAACTATTTGAATTGCGAGTTTTGGTCTTATTACCTCACCAAAAATTCCAAAACACACATGAAGTATTAGTTCACATCTTCTGGATCGCTAACTTAGTATTTACAGCCAGTTATATTACTAATGTCAGACGTTAACGACATTTCGTCCAGTTTTCGAATATCGCCATTTTTCTTGGAGCCAGTTCCATTTCAATTCATAACGTATTAATTAACATGACGGTTTTTAGAATATTACTTAAATTCATTGAACCCCGACCAAAAATTTTACAATAGCTCATGGTGTTCCAGATGGAATTACTTCTATCCAAGAATTGGCTAGAGACTCGAGTAAGTTTAGGATAGTTGAGGTTTATTTTCCCTATGGCTGATGTACACTTAGATGTTTTCTTTTTCTTGCTGGATTCTGTAACTATTTGTGGCCCTTTCCCTCTGACACTCGTGCGTATTTTTAGAAAAAAGAAACTGACAAATCAGAATGAGGTCAAACTGTTATCTTTAAGTTTTTGTTCTTCAGAAATGATTTCTAAGACTAAAATCTCACCCTCCAAATTGCTTATATTTGCCATTTTAATGCAGACATTATGAAAGGGGATTCTTAATTCTGTGTCAAAAAGTGTGTCGTTTCTGATGATGAATTTTAACCGTCCCAAGGTTTCTCAATTCTGCTTATATTTAAGATGTATATCAGACAGGACGGCTGAATAAAACAAAGCACACATTATGTTAAATTGATGAATACAGTTCCATCTAAATTCAATTCACTGTTGTGCAGACGGCCAGATCTCCCGGTAACATCGGTCGATTGCCGGTGTAAACCTCCACCAGGATGTTGTAGATGTCGTTGTCAGCAAAATTTAGCCAATCCCTTGCTTCAGCCTCATTCTGACAGAAACCAGAAGGTCTTCCGCAACTTCAAAGAAGATAGTTAGAATATTATTACACAAAAGAGGGGGGTAACTTAGTGAATCTTTTAGAAACATGGGTCTACCCGAGCGCTTCTTTAATTGATGCAAATCTCAAAAGTGTGAAAAGTGAAAAATACTGGAGTAGTCACAACAGCATTTATACACTATTGTTACCTATTCATGCCTCCTGAGAAATTCCCATGATTGTTTGTATTGAAGAAAACGGTACTAGCTTCGGCAAAATACTCCAAATCATTGGCCATAGCTTTTGAATCAGTGTCCCAAATTCCCAAAGCATATGCATTTTGATAGGCTATTGAGATCTGAAGACAAAGCGTGAACATAATTACCAATATAGTTAATTCAACATACACTATCACACGTTTTGTGATCGAATACGTCGAATGTCATGACAACATATTTGATATATGAGGTCGCACGGACAGATTCATAGTGCATGGAAAGACCTCCTGGTCGGATCTCACTGGCGGATACAGAAAATGTTTTGGCCCCTAAATTCAAAAGTAAGGCCCATTTTTGATAAATTGGCCCATCAAAAGGGGGGGGGAGTGGCGGATAAGAATGACTTGTAAACATGAGCATTCTCCAGTATACCGAAATAAACGATCCAAAAACTTGAGAGTTTGTTTTCTGAAAAGCTTGTGTCTAATTACTTCTTACTTGTATTTGTATGACTTCGGGTAAACCATACTGGTGGTAGGTGTGGGCAAACTCGTGGTTAAGTACATTATATGTTGATCCATATGGATCGCTGCTATTGCACAGGAGGTTGTCATCGACACATGTTGCTCGTACGCCTCCTATTCCCGGTAGTAAATCATATTTTCGTGTATCATCAATACACGTGTCTGAACAATCATCATTGCATCTTCCTAAAATATGCATTGAAACACTTGAGACGCGTGTGAATGCAGGTACAGTTACATCCTATAAAAACCTAAATAAGGGCGTTAAAAACGGTAAAATACATTGTACGAAACGCAGATTACTACACCCGGTATTTTAATTACCCTTGGTTAAAGGAATATATACCTGCACATTCTGGCCTATCTTTAAGATGCACATATTCAGGGTACACGGTTGACCCCTCTGCCTGTAGGAAGAACCCCACCCTACCATTATTAGCCAATGCCTCAAAGTAGCTGTCAGGCGCATATCTTAGCATATTCCCAACGATTTTGGATCCCTTAAACCAAAACGATATACATATCTGATATACTCGTATCACAGTCAGTCATCGGTGTTTTAAAGAAATTTCTAAGAATAAGTATCAATGAAACCATTTACGATTATTCCTACTATCAAAATTAGGCCTAATGTCGAACAATTCCTCGACCTTGGGGCACACCCGTTATACTCGTATGACAGAGGGAATTGGCTTCTTGCTTGACAAATGAACGCATTATATGCGTCAGTTTGAATATTGATTGGTACTGAGAGACACATGGAATCCTATTATCCACGGTGTCCAACCCAAACGCACTTACGTGCACGACGGAGCGTTTCATTACTGAAGATGCTCCGGAGAAGGAAAAATGGCGGGCGGGAATGATGGGCCGTCTGTTATCACAATCTATCAACTTACAATCATATGCGCAGTTTCAGACACGCCAGTAGTTGCAGCTACCTCTACCAGTGTATCGACACCGTTGTTTTCATTTCGTATACTTCCGTCACTCGCCACCCATTTGAACTTGAAGTCGACTCTTTCCAGACTTAAAACATGGGTTGTCTTGGGAATACTGAAATAACATTTATAATACAGTCTCCATGCGCCTCCCACCAAATTTGAAACAAGAAAACACAATGAAGATTATACTTCAAAACAGAATATTAACAGTCTTGTTTGACACTTAAAATATGTTTTATTCTATCGACTGTCAAGAAGATATGAATTGTCCTGCTGTAAAAACTGAGCGCCAGAAGCTTGCAAGATTCAGCATTAACCTACAGGGTGACTCCAAAAACAGAAACCACAAATCTTTGAACAAGGTTTGGGGTACTGCTCCTAAGAGCCATCATGTAATAATTATATTTGATGACCACTGACACTGCCGATCGTATTTCTCAGTGATAATCCAAAGTCAGGTATGTTACTTTTCCAATCATTTCTGGGGATCCCAGTCAGCATTCAGCAAACTGCGATTTCCAAATTTACGTATTATTGTTTAATGAAAAATCGACATATTATTATTATATTATATAAATCTTTTGGAGCCAAATATTTTGAGTAAGAAGTAATTGATTTTGTACTTACTTCACAAATGTTTCCCCTAGAGCTTCCAGACATCCTGTTAACAGTATATCCCACTTACCTAATAACAGAATTCCAACAGCAACTATACCTTTATTGAAATACGACATATTGGAATATTTGATTCTTTTTAATTAATTATTGCGTCAGTTTTTAAGTCATATACAGGGTGTTCCAAAAGTAACAGGACTGGTGCTGGCATTTTGGTAAATATGCACCAATTGTCTTCAAAATTTCACATAATGTACTTTCATGTATCATTACTTAAACTGCAAAGTTTTGACAAAATATATGAAACTAGGGGAGAGTTATGGTTGCTATGGTAACATGACATCATAATACCCGGGGCAACATTCCACGCAGAAAGTTACATTAAGACAGAAATGGACATTAAGCATTTTGTACATCCCATATCAAAGTTGAAATGCAACAACTGGTGGGAATTACATTTGTTTTACATAATTTGATATTCCTATGTATCCTCTACTTTGAAAATAGGATCCTATTTGGTCAGTAGAGGAGTAGCACTCTGTATCCATGACTCAAACACAATGGTGAACCCATTTAAGGACATGTCACGCATGGTCCATTGAACAACTTGGAGAAGGGCATTCTCATCTTTAAAGATATTACAGCACTGATTAGCATTCCATTCTCCATGTTAGTAAAAATTGGATGTTGCATGATCAGAAGAGTATGGCGCATGATTTTAGAGCTCAAGACCTAGCTCCTCTATAGCTGCATGGTCTTTAATGGTGACCTGCGGGCAGGCACTTTATCAAGGTGGATGACTGGCTTCAAATTGGGTCTTTTCAAAAACACAACCATGAATTGTTCAGACTGTAATTCATAGTGATATTCCAGGAAATTGAATAAATATTATTATTATTATGAAACTATACTTGAATCTGAGTTTTATAACAACACCTTCACAACAAAGCAATGAATAAAGTAAACAAAAAATGTTGTATTATAATAGGTGAATTGGATACTTTGTTCAGTAATACAAAAATGTTGTTAGATATCACATTTTCAGGAAAAAGTTGCCCCGGGTATTGTGATGTCATGTTACTATAGTAACCACAACACTACCCGCATTTCATCATTTTTTCTGAAACTATACTATTTTAGTTGCAATACTTCAAAGTACAATTTGTAAAAATTTGAAGACACTTGGTGCAAAATTGACAAAATGCCAGCACCAGTCCTGTTACTTTTGGAACACCCTGTAATGTTTGCGATTTCTTATCTTATCATTAGGTCGTAAAAAGTCTACTTTTTTGTTACATGAATCCACAGTTTGCAATTATAAATGTGCTGATAACCTGAACGCCATATGACTATCGAGTTCTATTCAAACATTTATGATTTACACCATACATCATATAATTATTGAAGTACATATTGTTGAACAGTTCTCTCTCAAGAAGTTGTTGCATTTTTATGCTTTTATGGCCTGACATGCACGCAGCATGCCTAAGCATGATTTTCTGATTGAGATTATCATTTTTACTTATCAATCAGTAGCTTTCTTCTTATCATTATAGTGCGTGTTAAATTTTGCAATTAATATGAATAATTATTTTTAATTTTCTAAATAACATGTACAGGCGGCGGCCCAGAAATAAAAGGCCTGGATAAAACCAGAATACTCTCTTTAATATCACTGTAAATCACCTTTCTCAGGTACACAAAGAGTGATGACGAAGTTTCAAAGTAGCTATTTTTGACTAAAATAAATAGGCCTATATATTTGTAAGTTACATTATAATCTGTTTGTTTGTGTGTTTGTTTGTTTGTTTGTTTGTTTTGTTTTGTTTCTTTGGTCACTATTGGAAATGTTATGAACAATTATTGAATATCAAATTGCTCAAGTTGCCTATACTAAAAGGAATCATACCAGTTTTGGCCAGGCCTGTTTTGGAGATCACCCAGTACAATAATTTTGTTGACCTTTCACATTTTTAGTGCTTTCTTCCGTTGAATATGGACTGTATCCAAGGAGGATTGGCTCCCAGAGTGCACCACCGATATTCTGTCCCATATATGGGTATGTCGTAATACAAAATTCGAATTCAAACAGCCGCCATTTTGTTCACTTCAACATTTAAATCGTGAATTTTGGTCTTATTTCCAAACGAAAAATTCCAAAACTCACAAAAAACGATCGAGATATTGGTTCGAATCTTTTGAACTGTTTATTTTGAATTTATAGTCGGTTTTAATTTCAGAAAATAACGACATTTCGACGTTTTCATTGTTGGAAAATATCGAGTTTCGATCCTGGGAGCCAATCCTCCTTGGACTGTATCCAATATTATGATTATCACGGTGTTATAGCATGACGGATACGCCACCTCTGAAAACGAGGTTAGTCGAATACGATCACTGATTTATCCAATAAAATGGCCACGATGAAACAGAAAGCTAAGGTAGGTGCATTATGTTCTACTACTGCGTATCAATAGAAACATGAAAGATTTATGTAAGCGTCGCATTCGGTGATGCATTCAGTAATGTTTATTTTGAACGTAGTCTTTGCAAATTGACGCCCATGGATAACATGAAATAAGCGAAAAACTGTCGAGTTTGAAATTCAAAACTTCATAAAATTTAGTTATTTGTTTCTTTTCCTCGTTAGGGCATGCTCTACATTGCGCAACAACCTTGGTGTATATAAAGGTAACCTACATACGATCATACAAAGCCAATTAAGCATTGTAAACCACTTAATATGTTCTACTCAAGCCATAATAATGTATTTTGAATTTGCGGATACGCCAAAAATTGATAGACAGTTACGCTAACCTCGTTCATATTTGTAAAACCGAATCATTTCATATCGCTTGTGATCCAAAATTGAAATGTTTTTCAACCGGATTTGAGTTTTGTAAGCTATAATAGATGAAATTGTATTATTACCACCTTGCAGGGCCTGTTCTAGGGGTTTTAGTACTAGTTGAGAAGGCATTTAAATTGCTATATTGACGTGAGCAATATTGTGTCGGGCGTTAATGACTTTAGTCGGGCAATAATGATATTATCCACCCGGCTATGTTTCCCGGGAAAAGTGATATCGTTCAGTGCGTAAGATTTTTCTATTTCAAATTTGCTATTTCAGCCCTGGGCATTAACGGTGGTAATAATAGTAATAACGTTGAAATGACGTTATTGCACTATTATGACGATGGTGACATAAACAGCTGAATATGATTTGTAATAATGGTAATATATGTCTAATGTCACTCATGACATCATCAATTAATTCGGAGTTGTTTTCTTCCGTCGCCTGCTCGTTGTTACTAATGTCTTCCTTTGCCTCTTCATTACAATCATTTTCACTTTCATTGACTTTCGCTATTTTTTTCCTTGCCCTATAGAGGCTCAAGCAAGAGCGTCTCTTGCGAGTCCTGAAAACAAATATAGGCAGTTCACACATAGAGAGCTATTCAACTAGGGACCTTGACTTGACAGGAACTTGCATGTAACCGTCCGCTAACATCTAATGTAAAACTAATACAATGCGTTGCTGTCCATAAAAAAGCATGCAATACATGATCTGTCTAACGACCTTGCGATTGAAACCTTATTATCTACAATATTCACCAAATTTCTGTTCTGCATTTGTCATTTTATGGCTTGTTTATACACAGTTTACGTACAGTTAGTATTTTGAGTGGCTCTGAGGCACATATACTGAGAAAACACGAAAAAGGACTAAAAATTATGAACTTCGAAATCTCAGCTGGGTAGGTTTACAGCTTATATTCTGCTTCTTGTAGACCACACGACATATTTAACTCAATCTTTATAACCATTCACATATGCATCACCGAATGGAACTAGTTGAAAAGGAAAGCTTACCTGTGAATCTTGCCTACAGGCGAAAAAGAGGACATGCTGTCTTTCCCGTCCGCCATTTTTTGTTATCGTTACCGCAAAATTTGGCCAATTGCCTTGTCGTATCTGTCATGCTATAACACCGTGATTATGTAACCAACGGAATAATTTTCGATATATCTATAGATAAGGCTTCATGGTAGGGTTTTGAGCTGTTGTTTGCCGGAAAATATAGTTCGAGGTCAGTTCCGCCATCAAGTGCAAATCTATATTAAAATGCAACACATAATGTAGAGAGGATTAAGTAATATGAAAGGATCAGGGTAGTAATTAATGAAGATGTTGCTCTTCTTAGATATCATAACAAGTAAAGCTTTTAATCAAGCAGAACACAGTGGGATATCGATCAACAGCTGTAATCTTAAATCGTGACACTGTATTCTTCATGGCCTTTATATTTAAGTTGCGTATATTGATTAAAATAATGCCTTTCCAATAAAACATATTATTACAAAGTTTAATGGATTGTAAATACACAAACGTAGGCGTATTACGTGTTTATGTGTTATTCAAGATAAAATGAAATACTAGATTAGTATGTTTGTAATATGCGGATATACAGCAAGTTAAATGTAACCATGTATTCATAAAAATGGAAAGAAATACGCAAAGTATTCTCATTATTTGGAAAAACTTCTGCCATGTCTGTTTTGACTAAAAGGTATTTTGAAAACTTTATTCTCAGCGCCACCTATAGGTTTGCCTTTATCTTTCAGCAGTTCAACTTCTTTTTCGTTCCATGTCTTTACTCTTACCAACGCAGACTTAAGGTCACGTTGAGGCGTTTTGCTGTTAGCCATTGGGTCTTTTAAAACTAGGTAACGTTCATATAAGTCCCGTCTTCCCTTTTCCATATCGGACAGATTCATTAGATGCTGGCGCAGCATATCCCAGTTAAAAACCGCTTTATTTGCCCTGCGTTCTAACTGGATGTCCTGAATGTTTCTCCTGATCATACCCCATCGTCTCTGGCTCTCGGTTGTCCTCGCAGGTGTAGGCTCGTGTTCAGAATCGCTATCACTATTTTCCTCTCGAACTTCATTCTTTTTGAACTGTACACTTAGGGCTGCCCAGCTTTTCCCACCCTTTGCTATTGCACGCCACCCTTTGCCACGGCGGGAAGTAGCCGTGTGCTTTTTCCAACTTATTAGAGCATCTTTGAAATGAACACTGGAGTCAAATGATACTTTAGGTTTCTTCATATAGAGGTTGGAGTCATCATTGAGATGCTTTAATGATTCCGAGAACATATCCCATTGCGTCGCTCCGTAAAGGTATTCCGGGGCACTGCGTGACGAGGTCAATGATGATATGCTTCCACGCCTGGAGGAAATAGTCCCTGAATCACTACCTTGACTAAAACTTTGGCGAGACCCCGAGAGTTTGCTTTGAATATCAAGAGTTCGGCTTTTATGCGTGTTATTCCGTGTATGCGTTGAAGGTGACATATCTCTCCGTGTATTTCCAGTAGATGCAGACCGGGGACTCGGCGCATCGTGAGTTATGATAGGTAATGTTGTTGAACATCTACCATGTGTCTGATTATCATTATTGAAAATATTAATTTTTGTTTTCGCCGCATGTGGGCGTTTGATTCCACTTCTCGTGGCCGTGTTATGCCCACCAGTGTCGACATTGTTTCCATCATCGCAGACATAATTGTTGATTCTTAATCCTCTTTGTTTAGAATCGAACGTCTTGCGTTGTTGCTCGTTTTGTTTGGCATTGATAATCTGCGTTCTGTGTCCATTGTCATTTTGATAATTCTCCTTGATTCTACTTGTTGAGTTTATCACTGCACCACCAGTTGTGTGAGGTCTTGGGTGCGACGCCATTTCCCCGGATTTGGTTCGTACATCAGCATCGCCGTTCACATTTACATGTACAACTTGTACTTTGGATTTCCTCACAGTCGATGACGTTTTGTTTTTTCTAGTCTTTTGTTGTAAGTATTGCTTACTTTTCCAATCCATCGTGTTGTTATATCGCGAAGAGGAAAACATAAACAAAAGATGATAACGATCCGTCTTATTCTTTCAATCAAGGGTTCTAAATAATATAGCAAATCTCTAGTTCTTTGTAGATTGTTCAGGATCTTATCCCATTAAAGGATACGTGCCAAGTAATCTGATACCCAGAGCATTCTCTCTTTCAAAACACATGATCTTGATCATTTTTCATTCCAGCTGAAAAATAATTAAACTTGTTTACAGTTCGGAAATCTGTATTGTGTTCATCGGATCAAAGCCGGATTTGTCTATCTAGACGTAATGCTCTGGATCATAATGTTATGTTACTTCGATATCCAATACGTTGAATTGTCAGAACATCCATTTTATGTACATCAATACAATCTTTTAATGAATTCCGCACTTAATTGATCGACCAAGTCTCGATTACCTGTAGCTGCAGCAATGGATAAATGATCCTTGACTAATGCATTTCAAGAACATCCCTTTACTTTGCTTAGGATTATCTTATACTTTGTCTTCCTAAAGTCGATTTTCTATCTCTGTGGTCTTTTCCAAGTGCTTTCATTTGTGTACTTGTAACTAAAATGATATTCCGAGTATACTCATAAGCCTGTGTTCGGAGTATGAGTAAACTTGGTTTATTAAATAATGCTATGAAGATGCTCGTACTTTATAACATATACGCATTTATGGCCACCGGGTCCAAACATGCCATGTTCTGCCATGTTGCCAAGTTGTAATATCTACAAGATGCAGTCACTTGGCATATACTTGTTAGTAACATGGCAATATTTTAGCAAGTACCTTTCTGACAACATGCTACTGGTCTAGCATGTGAAAGACAGAGCAACTGGCTCAACATGGCATGTTGAATGTGCAAGTGATAATTCAAGATTTATCTAGATTGGAACATGTACTATTTTGGTTGGACATGGCATCTTGTTTTAGCATGTGTACATGTATCAGAATTTGTGAGTACTGCCATGTTCGCATGTTGGATGTGCATGTTGATTTATACATGTTGCATTGGCATACTTGCCATCTTATATTTGCATGTGTGCCAAGTACCTTGATTCAAGTGATCCCAAGTTCACAACTTACCAAGTACAGCATGTTGTCATGTGATAAATATGGCTACTGGCTGTAGCATGGCATGTTGGATGTCCATGTTATAATAATGTCTATTAATGCTCAACATGGTTCTACTTGCCATCTTGTATTAGCATCTGTACCATGTACCAGAAATGTTGGTGGTGCCATGTGTGCATGTTGCCAAGTTCAACAGACATAGTCATTTATTGATCCTGGCAATGATCTTTAATTCATACATTGTATATGTGTTGGATGAACATTGTGTCAATGATACATCACACTGATATTTTACATTTTCTTATGCTGTATTTAAAACTTGACTCATAACTTATATTTTTGCATTTGTCATGTTGTTTACATTTTGTATTTTGTAGTTTTTGTAGTTTAGTCTAAGTTATTTTTGTATATTGTACATTGTACTGACTAATATGTCATTGTGATGACATCTGAGTCAATAAAAGATGTATGTGATCACCGCTCCTGCCAAGTTGACCTCGTATCATTAGGGTCTGGTACACGAATGCCGCTCCTGCCAAGTGGACCCTGTACTCATTAGGGTCTGGTGTACGCAATCGCCGCTCCTGCCAAGTTGACCTCGTATCATTAGGGTCTGGTACACGAATGCCGCTCCTGCCAAGTGGACCCTGTATCATTAGGGTCTGGTACGCGTCCTGTGTCCTCAGTGGGTAGGTCAGGGTTAGGTAATCATTTAAAACCCCATCTGGTTTACTAGGGTTGGTTAGGGTGGGTTGAGGTTACGGTTTAAACTCATTTCACTTTGCAGGAGCGGCGTTCATGTGCCAGACCCTACTGATAGCGATCGCTGCTCCTGCCAAGTGAACCTTGTATCATTAGGGTCTGGTACACGAATGCCACTCCTGCCAAGTGGACCCTCTATCAATAGGGTCTGGTACACGATCGCCGCTCTTGCCAAGTGGACCCTGTATCATTAGGGTCTGGTACGCGTCCTGTGTCCTCAGTGGGTAGTTCAGGGTTAGGTAATCATTTAAAACCCCATCTGGTTTAATAGGGTTGGTTAGGGTGGGTTGAGGTTACAGTTTAAACTCATTTCACTTTGCAGGAGTGGCATTCGTATGCCAGACCCTACTGATAGCGATCGCTGCTCCTGCTAAGTAGATCCTGTATCATTAGGGTCTGGTATGCAAACGCCGCTCCTGCCAAGTGGACCCTGTATCATTAGGGTCTGGTACACGAATGCAGCTCCTGCCAAGTAGATCTTCTATCATTAGGGTCTGGTATGTGAACGCTGCTCCTGCCAAGTGGACCCTGTATCATTAGGGTCTGGTATGCGATTCACCGATCCTGCCAATTGGACCCTGTATCATTAGGGTCTAGTACCCGTCCTGTGTCCTCAGTGGGTAGGTCAGGGTTAGGTAATCATTTAAAACTCCATCTGGTTTAATAGGGTTGGGGTTGGTTAGGGTTAGGGTTAGGGTTAAGGTTAGAATTAAATTCTCTTTTTTATATTTTGACATAGAAAAATTTATGTATTTATGGAATTCATTTTTTAATTTATTTTACATTTTTGACACACATATTCATGGTCTTAGGGTTAAATTCATTTTTTGGGGTAAGGGTTAAATTCATTTTTTGAATTTTTTCATTTCTCGTTATCAAATTTCCCGCCATTTTTCAAATAAAAATATTTTGCAACTAACGTCAGACCTGCCAACCTGAAATTGGTTTTGAACGAGGTCATGGTGAATAAAAGTAAAATGAAAGTTCATTTAGTTAAATGAAATGGGAAAACAAAAGAATATGACAAAAATTAATGAGTAATCAGGCTGATTATTAAAAGCCCATGATGTAAGTTGGCCCTGAACAAGTATTATGAGGGTTCCTTTGCTCGCTCAGTTTTTACAGAAAATATACATTTCCTTGCTGTAAAACTGAAAGTAAGAGAAAGAAGTCCAATAATCAAGGTTACTGACTGTAGATTTAGCTCAAACACGGTAGATTAAGGGAGATTTCAGTCAAAAATACGGGAGGTTTTTACGGCCATTTTCACAGGAAAAATGGATTTTCAAAAATTACGGTAGATTTTAGTAAAACTACGGTACAGGAGATAACAGTAGTTTTACGGGTTTAAACGGTATGGGAGTTTTGTTGCATTTACGGAAAAACAAAATATTTTACGGGAGATTTACATAAAAACGTATGGTCGGCAGTGACATCATTTCTTTCCAATGTCAATCTTTTCTAAATATGCAAAACTTCAAATATAAACCAATGTTGATTGTCTAACCTGAGATTAAAAGGAAGTATATATGTTTGAAATATTATGTACCATTGGTTTCTTTGAGAACTAAGAAATTTTGAAATGCATTTTTCTCTGAACCATTTTAAAGTATGACGAGTTCATTTCTCGCCTATTTTTGAACCAATTTTCTTAATTTTTCACCAAAATCATGTGAGGATGAATGCTATGCATTGGTTTGAATTATCGCTTATTAGAATATATATGTGATCTCTAAAAGTTAGTTATAAAAGTTAGTTTTATATAAATTCATAATTAGCAATTAAAAAAAAGTTTCACATTCTTCCATATAACACTGAGTAAGACTACAGTATAAGCCAAAGTGATTTAGACCTTATATGGGGACTTAAAGTGCTATTGATTACAGTATATAAATTCATAAAGATGTGCATTTATGGTCTTTCTACAGAGCAGAAAACTCATGGGCAATGGTAAATGTTCTATATTTGCAAACTGCTAACTGTAATATTTGAATATACAGATTTTCAATTCTACATAAATACAGTTATATTCTTATTTCTACTTATTCAAGAATTCAAGATGTTTCTGACCAGGGAGCCTACTTAGTGAACTAACTGACACGCAGATTGGAACATTAATACAAGGATACTATAATGTTCACATGTGTTTAGAATTGTGTTAGAATTGTATATGATACAGTAATATGCTGTTCATAGCTTTGTAACATTAACAAGTTTATTACTTCACAATTATTCCATAATAAAATCATCTCTACATAATAAATTATTCTCTGCAATCTATTTTTGTTTTATGAGAACATAAAGTTAGTAATCTATTATTATCATATTGAAACATTTTACATGTGTGAATTCTAAGATATTATGCAAAGGAAAAGTCAAATCCCTCATGGAATTCTTTAAAAACAGCCCTCCCCCTGCTTCCCTCCCTGGTAAAAGCTGACTACTGGCCTGAGAGAGGCAGAATACAAATGTAGTCAGTGCCCGGGAGTTAGTGGTCAGCAAACCTAGAATATTGTAGAGGATGATTTCTTCATATGCTTGCTACAAAGGTTAAATTTATTAAATTTATACCAATTTACCATTTTTTTAAATTACATTTTCCAAATTTGTGTTCATTTCATTAGTTTTACCATTCATTAAACAAGCTTTTTAGTTTAAAAATATATTTTATAATTTAATTTCCCATTCCAAATAAACAAACGTGTCATTTTGGAACTTGATCCACATGCTGCACATGAGAGATGTATAGTTGAAACTTGGCAAGATGCTATTCGAACATGCAACATGGCAGCATGTCACTTGGCAACTTGGTCCACATGCTGCACATGCGAGATGTACAGTTTAAACTTGGCAAGATGCTATTCGAACATGCAACATGGCAGCATGCCACTTGGCAACTTGGTCCACATGCTGCACATGCGAGATGTACAGTTTAAACTTGGCAAGATGCTATCTGTACATGCAACATGGTACCATGTCACTTGGCAACTTGGTCCACATGCTGCACATGCGAGCTGTATAGTTTAAACTTGGCAAGATGCTATTTGTACATGCAACATGGTACCATGTCACTTGGCAACTTGGTCCACATGCTGCACATGCGAGTTGTATAGTTTAAACTTGGCAAGATGCTATTTCAACATGCAACATGGTAGCATGTCACTTGCTAACTTGGTCCACATGCTGCACATGCGAGATGTATAGTTTAAACTTGGCAAGATGCTATCTGTACATGCAACATGGTACCATGTCACTTGGCAACTTGGTCCACATGCTGCACATGCGAGTTGTA